CCACTTGCTGGGCGCCCCCGCAAAGTGGGAGACTGTTGGGAAGGGTGGGGATTGGAATCACGGGATGCACCCCAAACCAAGATGAACCCCTGACTTCTGGGGGCCAGCTCAGCTCCCTCGGCCCAATAGCCACACCCCGACTTCAACACCAGGGAGGGACAGCTCCTGGGGGCCGGAAGGTTAGATTGTAAATTTCAGCACTGGAGGTGGGGACAGCTCCTCGGGCACAGAGCAGACTCTGGACCAACACTGAACACTGAACTCACTGCCTGCGCGGGCGGGTTGATGCCAACTAACATCAACTCTTACGGGCCAGTGCAGAGCTGCCCCTGCGGGAGCCCCGCCTTTCTCTCAAGAAGCTGCTGGTGGCTTTGAACTGCCATTTGGTCAGAGGATGACCACCCTGAGGCAAGGTTCAGACAAAGAGAGCTCTCCCAGGGCATCCACATGTAGTGGGTGCAGGCCACACCCTCTCATTGCCACGGGCTGCTCACATCCACTCACAGAAGGGACGATGAGGACACTATAGTGGATTACAGGAGAACTGGAGCCTAGCCCACTGCCACAGCCCACTGGTGTGCACACAGACATGCACCGGAGGGTCTTCCCATCCAGAGCAGCCACTGCTGAGTCCACACAGGCAGGCCATGTGCAGGCCGGGGGTGGGGCTGCTTATTTCTCCCTTCACAAAGCAGGCCCCACACTCCTGTCATCTCATGATCTGCAGCTTGGGCCAGCCCCCTGTCATAGGTTGCAGCTGCCCTCAGGCCCTGGGTGGCTGCCTCTGCATTCCCTACTGCCATCCTGTGGCCCCTGGCTAGAGCATGGCTGCCTATGAGGACAGTACCCGGCGGGGACAGACAAGGAGCCAGGCAGCATGGCTGCACCCCCAGGATCTGTGTGGGCTACAGCTGTGGTTCCAAGATGCCTTTGTACAAACAGTTATGCTCTCCGCACTGCCTGAGAGGCTGGCAGCCGTCTGAGCCCATCACGGTGCCCCGGGAGAGAAGTCTACACCCTCCAGGCACCTTCTACTGGG